GGAGGGGCTTTAGCGCTATTTTCATAGCGGTGTTGTGGCTACTTGACACCTCAATCTCAAATGTATATTTGTCATATTCGTGATTCCAGAAGGCCAATTGAAGACGATTTAAGTGTTTTTTTTTTTATCAAATACAGAACCGCTTCATATCCCTTTTAAAAGAGTACAGATATGATTGGCTTTTGTTTATGGTGGTGTCATGAGGATGCAACCTCTCGTTTTTTTTATTATGAAAATATTAGCCGTAGAAGACTCTCTCAGTTTTTTTTTAGTTTCTCAGTGGTCGCATATTTGTTAAAGGGATAAAATTAAGATTGATCATTGAGAGCACTCATAAACTTGAAGTTTATGAGCGCTGTCGTCTTGTTGCAAGGACCAAGATGAGTTTGTTAAATTATAATTGTACCGTGATAAACTAGCTACAGTTAAAATATTGCGGGCGTTTGCGTGGTTATGCCAAGAAACAAAAAAAAAAGTATTTTAAATGAAGGAACTTGTGGTTGTTTATAGATGATGGGGGTCGATCGCTGTGATGCTTATATCTCTTCGGTTCCGGGAATCACGTGAAAACGTGCGTTTGATTGTTTGATCCTGACATGTATTTCGTGTAATCATTATGCAATGCTCATTTTATTTTTTTTACGCTGCATACGTTTGGATTGATTTGTATTACATAAATATGCATTTGGAGTATTTTATTGGCTAACAAGTCTCCCATAGAAGGAATATTCACTTTCGCGGACAAGGATGCGTGTAGCTTTGTCGTATTTAAATTAAACGACAACATATATAATATTGATAATATCAATCTATGAAAGATAAATGCGCCATTTCTTAGAAACATTTGGCAGCGAATATTGTTTCCAAAGCCATCTAACGCATAAAACGCAGTATTTAAAGAGTGATTGCTTAAGGTTGCTTAAAAAAACATTAAACCGTCGTTCCGCGGAGTGAAGAGAGACCCATAGTTTTATCAATTTTCCCGCTCGATTTAAGTGAAAGACTGAATTTGTGCATAAGCCACGTGACGCAAATTTCGCGGGCAAATTTATTTGGGCAATTCAATCGTTGTCAGGTCACTCGACGCAGGTCACGTGGTGGCAATTTCTCCGCTAAGCTTAGCGGGCAAATGCACGAACGATCGGTCGGACAGACAATTGTTGGGGGGATCAGGGGATTCCGATGAAAACCATTATAAGTTGTAATATGTAAATAATGTTACATAAGAAGGCATGAAGCTTTTCCATGATACTCAAGCTAAGGAAATTATAATAAAAGTGCAGTGATTCCACACAAAAAGATTACCGCATCTTCACGTGGTGAATGATGTTGATTGGGGCGAAGCTCTGGTGGTGCTGGTGATACTGATTTTATTGTTCATAGGTAGTGCTGATGGTGCTTTTTTTTCTTTTTTATTGTTCATAGGAAGTGCTGAGTTCCAGTTGCGTTTCGACTTCATTATTACTGCTTTATGGTCGGTGAAATGCAGAGCCAGTGGTTCTTCTAGCGGATCAGCTTGGATCCGTTAGAAGTCGTGGGAACGCATCTCCACCCCTTAAGTCAACGGTCTATGTCAGAAAGAGAATGTGTGGTATGGAACGTGGTTATATACGCGGTTGAGCATTTGACCGCAGCACCCTCTCCTGCATAGACGTTGAGCGGCTACATGCAACTTTTTCTCCATGACAGAAACCACAGCTCTTGAGTTACTACCACCTCTGAGAGCCCCCTACTCGTCCCGCAGTCGTAGCCGATGGGTTTTAAGGCGATGGACTAGAAATCCATTGGGGTCTCCCCGCACAGGTTCGAATCCTGTCGACTGCGCAAACATTTTTTTTAATTTTTTTAAGAAGACAGATGGGATGGCAATCGATGTGAGCACGGACGCCGGACGGACAAAGCTAGACCCTAAGGAGCTTCGCCCCTAATAATTTCTCGAGAAGGAACGTTATTAGTCGAGGTCGCGGAGACTTGGTAATGAGCTCGAGTTTATTTACTTGTTTCATTATGGTTGCATACATCATCTTCGAAATGATTTTTTACCTAATTTTGCAAGAGCTTTTATGCACTCTTATTTGGCGTGTGTTAATGAACCTTCGCAGTTCTTGGTGCGTGTGTATCTGACAACACACTGAATTAAAACGAATCAATAAAAAAAAAAAGACAATTTTGCGCTCCTTGTTTTTATATATACACGACCCAAAGCCATCGACCAGAATATTGTGGGGACGAAGCGCGGTTGAGGAGTAAACACTCAGTCGGTGACAGGAACCCAGTAGTTTTTTTTTTGGTCAAGGAGTGACGATGATTATCAGAATATCATTATTATCAACCTGCGGTATTGGTAAATAAATATAGTGGTTAATGGTGAAAACAAAAATTGTGGTTTCGAAGCACAGGGTCAATGTCCTAGAAGATAAACATTAAAAAAAAAGTATTTCGAGTGGTCATTTCGTGATTCTCATGTTTCTTACGAGTAAACCTGAATATTCTCATTTCTATGTATGATAATAGATGTTTTGCAGTTTATAACGTGGCCTAGTGGTCTTCATGTGCGGTTTTAGTAGAAAGCTTGAATATTTCGATGATCTGAATAAAAATGGCTGTTATTTGCTTCTACTTTTCCAGATACCACCTACTGGTACGCGGCGTTGACTTCATCGGGCATTTTGACATGTCACAATGAGTTTTGAATCAAACCCGCGCACGGATCTGGTGTACAGAAAGTAAAGAATGAATGGTTCGACGATTGAAAAGTCTGCTGTGACTTAGCACTAGAAAGAAGTAACAAAAATAGCGATTCGCCACCTATGTGGGTTCTATGAAGGCGTCCTTCGATGAAACGTTCGTAGAGCTGAAATTTAAAGAGTACTTATTCTAAAAATTACAAGGAAGAATTTTAAGGTCTCCAAAGTGCGAAGAAGATAACTTGGCAAAGGGTGCCGTGGGTTACTAAACGAAACTGTTATACATTGACATCATAAAAAATATGGGGCGTGGTGAGTCCAAGCATATCATTATCGATTAGCAGCCAATGAGGTTGAGTCATTATCCGATATGAACACTAAATAGCAAATCAGAAAGCAAGGTGAGTTAGCATAATAAACCACGCCCGGGGTTTAGGAAGTTGTCAGTTGCCAAAGATGTTAGTAAAAACAAAGTTGAAAAAAATTTTTTTTTTGTTTGTATTGCTTTGTATGGAACAGTACTTTTGTTTTTGTTCGAATTTTTTTTCCATCTAATATGCTGATATGGAATCCCAATAGGGTACACAGTCCACGTCAAGTTACACGCCCTTGGGTCTTGTCACTGAGAGCGTAAGGCATTTGGTCTGGAACTAAATACGAGAGGGCATCGAGACAAATGACGTCTTATGGGTTGCAAATATGTACTGTCAGTTTTCTTTTTTTCGAAGCAAACCACCTTTAATTTACGTTTTAGTGTTACCGATGACAGGTGTTTCAAGTTTGGCGTTTAGTTTACGCTGCCCCTAATGCCTTATGACCTCCATACTAGTGTACATTACACAAAGTAGCGTACATATAAAATCAGGATAATTGCACATCGACCAGTTATTACATGGCTTCGATGAGTAGCTTCAACAAGGGCCAGGATTCCCTGAATGCTAAAATATGCTGTTCGTAATTTTAAACGGGGAGTTCCTGTGATGATCAGCTAAGTATATTTCTATATTTCGCATTTTTTATATTGTCTCGTCCTGAGATTCAGTCATAAATTAGTATGCTTAAGTGGTCCCACAATATGCATGCTACAAATTATCATTATCTTACGATGTTTTAGATGAATACTGCGTCACATTATGACTTACTAGCAGTGTTGTAGGCGTTACAACAACAAAAAAAGAGAACGAAACACCTTGCCCGTTACTTGCAAATAAAGTAACGCATTACCCTCCTACGTTACTAAAAAAAACCGTTTCCGTTACAGATAAAAAGAAACGCACGTTACTTTTTAAATCATAAAGTAACACGTTCTACTGTTTTGAAATTCAGGAGTGCAGAAGTGCCATATTTTTAAAGAAACACCATATCTGTGCGAAACTGGACATAATTACTTCATAATTTTTTGCGGCTTAACCGAAATACTAAAAAAAATCAGAAAAAAATTAAAACAATTACATGGCTTGGCACTTAGAAACACTAAATTTGTTTGTAAAAAGTAACGTAGCTCCGTTACCAGTTACTCGAAATATGTAACGTAAGTACGTTATTACCTTTTACTCTTTTGAAAAAAAAAGGAACGAGTGCGTTACACGTTATCGAAAAAAGTAATGCGGTACCTGTAACGCGTTACTGCCAACACTGCTTACTAGTAAGAAAAAATGTTTACGCGTTAAAGTAAAATCTAAGAGAAAATGTATGCATCAAAGTATTTGGTCTTGATTCTTGTTGTTGAATAATATCTATAAAACTTCTCCGAGACTTTGTAACTCGTTGTGTCTCAAGAGTATTTTGTCGTACGAAGTCTTAAGCACTATGAACAAAAAACTGTTGTTCTTGTTAGGATGCGGTAATTTGAACTTATGTTACTTTTTCACTAGGGAAAGTTTCTGTTTCACAGCAACCTGGTACATATTGCAAATAAATAAAATACCCGTGCACGGTGTTTTGCGAGAAATCATAAATTAAATGTTTGATTTGTCAATTTTTTATTTTTTCATGAATATTTTGAATTTGGATACGTTTTGACCATAATATTCATATATACTTTTATTAAAAGGCTACTCTCTATGCCGTTACCGCCGTTACCTCAGTGTTGTAGTGACAATTGTAAGAGCGTTTTAAATAAAACAAGAAGAACTATTTGAAATTGGTTCAGACACTCTTGGATTATGCCTTCTAGAGAATAAAATAAATTAAAAATGTAGAAGTGCACGATATCACCTACAAGCAGGGCTCATTTACTAACGGAAGCGTGCATATTACAGAGCGATTGTCACCAAAATGAGGGTTTTGATTTTCCAAAAACTGCCGACTCACTCTTCGGTCATGTCAGCGTTGACGCCGACGAAGGCGCATGCGACGAGCACGAACGCCAGGAGGGCCACAGTCTTGCATTGCACGGCCATCGTCTCGCTGCTTGGCGTCGGTGAACGAGACTGCACGAGATGAGCAGCAGAGGGGGTGACCAACGGGAAAGTCTTCTCCACTCGACAAAATCTCCCGCGTGCTCTCTTCAATCGAGACGCGCCTTTATAGCGGCACCTTCCTCTCCCCCACGCCCTTCGATGAAAACCGCTTTCCTCCTTTCCCCGGAACCGGTCTCTCAGCCAATGGGAGAAGCCAGTTGGCCGTGACGTCATCGTCTGAGGGACGCCGCCTCCTCTATGGGGAACTCTTACGGTCTGCTTTTCGTTCGGGATGCTTTATGTGGGTCGCTGTCCGGTTGATGTTTGTGTTCACAAGCTTCGCCTCCCGGATTCGGGAACTGACTAAGGGGTTGAGGGAGCCATTTCACTTTAAGAGCACCGGCGCTTTAGATTGGACTAATGAAATTGATTTTTCGAGGGGATTCGATGTGGCGCGTCACGCACATTGTGTATCCTTCAGACCTACTCCTAGGGCTAAGCTGTTTATCGAGTAGAACATAAAGAAAGTAGCGTCACTTTTTATTCCAGAGTAGAATCGACAATTTCGAACATTTGTTAGAATAAACGAATCATCGCGTCTAAAAGCACGAGATTTCTTGTTGCAATAGAAACATGCCCTTGTACTCTTTACAATTATATTACATTATAATTTGGTTTGTTCGATTTTATAGGCGAAAAATTATGCTACAGAAATTCCACTCTCTGATTCACCTTCTTATACTCATAAGGTGTCACTACACAAATATCGTGCGTGACTCACGGACATAATTCAGGATTTTAATTTCTTTTTTTATGGGGAAAAAGTGAGCAGACGTTGTCATCTCACAACTTGCGCCAACTTCGTTAAGACGATAAGAGTAATCATTTCCCGGCTGACACAAACCTGAAAGACATTGTGCCGATATTTATTTGTTTTAATTTCTTTTTAGTGTGATCCGGGCTGTTTTTTCGACATATGGCTTTGTTTCGACAGGAAAGACGGTTAACCATTCACAGACGCCGATCTGCGCGCTTGTCATGACGTCTCAAGAATAAATTTTAATAAGACGATGCTGTAAGATTTTATAGCCGTGGCGGTTTGTTACATTGTAACACAAAAGTCTAGCTAACACGCAGCATTTGTTCTTTTCAAAGGCTCGATTACGTAGACGTGTATAGCAGGAATTAACTTCTCGAACAACTTTACCCCGTGATCTAGCATTTCGTTTTTACAAGATGCAGAATGTATTTCTTACAGTCCTTTTTAAATGTAATTTGTGGTCATTATAGGACAACTATTTTGATTGAAGTCCGCAAATTTCTATTTAGATTGCGAACATAAATTATTTTTGGTTTTAATACAAACTCTCTATTGTATTGTATATTTTACATCCCTCGAAATGCGTAGGATCACATAAACATTAACCAAGCACTAATTGTTTCACCGTAATAAACCCTGAACTCGTTGCAAATATAAAAAAAAAATGAAGTATCCAATTTACCCTGGGAATATATAACTATAGGCGGAAAACCTACACAAAAACTTTTAACCAATGAATCGTAAAGAATTGAACAAAAATGACGTTTATATATTCTTGCCATAAGCCAATCTAAGTCGGCATTTGTCTTTCCTTTATTTTTTCTTTGTGGGAACCTCTGAATTTAGGAGCTTTGAAGGAATCCGAAACTAGGATTTCCACCTAAATTCAGATAAATATTTACAAGCGGACAGAAGTTCAGGAATGTTGACCCGAATTTATATGGTATGAATGAGCGTCCGCTGCGCCAATAACCAATTGAACCAACAGATGTCGCATTTACAACGACATGGTGGGATCAAATACAGTTTATGAATGGGAACTCGGATTAGCACTACTTTGAAATTTGAGGGGGAAAATTCGCTTCATTCTACACGACAGTCTAGAGTTTTTAATTGGTCGAAAAATGCAGTCTTGAGAAGGGTTTCACATGGGTGGTGGACGGATGGGGCAGTTGAAAGAAGAAAAAAAATGAAAGACGTTTACAACACCCTGTAACGCCGAATTAGAGCGCCGCTCTTGAGGAGGAGGAAGAGGCAAGGCTACTGAGGGGAGGGTATGCCCTCCTCACTCCTCCTCACCTCCTCATCCTCCCTACTCCTCCTCCTTGCCTCCTCCCTCCTCTTTCTCCTCCTCCTTCATCTCCTCCCCTCATCCTTCAAGCTCCTCCCCTCCTCTTCTCCTCCTCCTTCCTCCTCCTCCCCGCGCGGTGCATCATGGGAAATGTCCCATAATGCACCGTGCAGGACCCTCGTGACGTCACATGTGACGTCACAGGTGACGTCAGGAGGGTTCCGCGCGGTGCATTATGGGACATTTCCCATAATGGACCGCGGTGTTACGCCGACGGCGACGCCGGTCAAGCCGGAAACGGGCGCCTAAGAGCTGCACTCTACAAGGTTATGAGGTTTTCCACAATTACCTTCGACGTTCAGATATACACTTTTTATTTTAATTGTATTTACTTTTTTTAATATTCATATTAGATAAGTAATTTCAAACGTTTACCTTGAGTTGTTTAGGAAGGCTCTGTTTTCAAAAGAGCGTTGACATGAAGGTGCGCGAACAAAAAAATTACAAAAGTAAGTACCGTATCAAACCTCGACCTAAATATTCCTTGAAACGCTCAGAACCGTTTTTGCTGAGCATTAGAAATACGTTTGACTGTGAACAATGCCGTTCTTTACTGTTTTCTAGGTTAGAAACCTCAATTGACGGTTGTGTAATGAACTGTTGTTGTAGAAGAATGCTAACCAGAGTATGTATTAAGTGTTCGATGATGCACGAGTCGCGTACACACGTCACGTGTCACGATATATAACAATATATTTAAAAATTAAATTTATAATTGATGGTCTAAATAAATAAATCGTTGCTCATGCTGGGTTAGAGGGAAATACAGATGCTATGACGATTTTTTGTATCGTAGATCAACACTTAAGAGGAAAACTGGCCACACATAAGTTTGATTTCACGGAAAAAAAAAAGGTTCGAGCAAGTATGTATTTTGAGTAAATTTGAGCCTCTGAGTTTTCAAATATTCTTTAATTTCAAAAATAATTAGCCTGAATTTACTTGTTCACTCTTTAAATAGAAACCGAGCGTGTTAAAAAAAAAAAAAAAAGAGCAAGAATACGACAGAGAAAAAACTTTGGAATGCGGTGTTCACCTTAATTCCACGTTTCGTTCTGGAAATCTGCTAGCCCCGAAAATTTGCCGAAGTACTTTCGCGAGCAGAAATAACCAGATCTTGACGGATCCTAACCAACATCTACATCCACCTGTTTATATGAGGACTCTCGAATATTTACTTTTGGGTAGAGCTCGCTGAAGAGGAAAGCTGACTTTCATTGTCAGTGTAGACAGCTTACTCAACCTTCCTCGTCTTCCAACATTCCTTTTTTTAGTACAGTGTTTAGACTGAAACTATCGCTCTACTATATCACAATACAGGATGTCCCAAAAAGATATTACACGTTTTTTTTTTCACCCCAAAATTAACTATGTTTTGCCGAACACTCATTTTAAACCGAAAAGTAGCACTAGAGGTACGATCCAGATGCCAAAGTTTCAGCACGAACCGATATGTTATTTAAAAGTTAGAAGTGATTTTATAAAAACTTCAATAAAAAAATTGGGCCCAGTTTTTTTTTTCGTTTACGGTTTCTGGCGCCATACAGCTCCGTCAGCCACCATTTTCCCATTGACATTTAAAAAAAAATCACTAATAACATTTAAATAAAAGATCGGTACGCGCTGAAACCTTGGAATCTGGTTCGTACCTCTAGCGCTACCTTCGGGCAGATAAAAAACCTCCAACAATGCGGAGTTTATTTTTGCATTAAAAATACTGTAATTTTGTTTCGGGAACACTCCGTATAGGACAAGGTATGTAAACCTTTTCTCAGCGAGGGAAGCAAGATGCCATCTTTAGAAAGAAACACCTTCGCGCTTTTTATGAGCATCGTTACGTCAAATGTGTTTGTCTTCTTTTTTTTCTTTTTTTTTTGCTGTAAATAAAAATAAGCGCAACAATCGAGCCACGAAGAGATAACGGCAGGTTTGTATAGCGACCCTGATCTCGTTTGTATCAGCCCCAAAGTAAAGAGAGGAGAAGGTGCGGGGTGCTCCGAGCCTTTTATCCGGAGAAATTAACTGTGCTATCCCAATACCGCCTGGAAGGCAAGGCCCGGCGCCTTTTTTCTCCCAAACGTCACTGCTAGTGGAATGACGTTTCGCAGCACGTCACAAGGAGCGCGAGGCCAAGAGAGACGCGTCGGCCGTCTCGCGGCGACTCGTGTTGAGCTTCAGCCTGATGGACGCTTTCAGCGTGTCTGAGTACCACGCATGATGACGTCATGCGGAGGACTTGTCTTCTAGGCGGTAATGGCTATATTCTCGCGAATGTAAGAAGGAAAAGGCCATCCTCGTGAATTTTGTTTTGTTTTGTTTTATGACTCGTTACCGGAACGGGACGTTGAAATGACCGAACGATGTTTGTCACTCGCGAGTGTTGATAAAACGGGGCTATTGTGTTACTGCCGCTTTGTGTAAACTCGAGGCCGACAAGCCCACGCGTGAATTGCTGTGCCGCAGTTCATGTAAAACGGGGTTAAAAGCGGGACGTTGTCTGTCTATAAATCGGTTCGAAACATTGCGTAATGTACTACTGTCAGTGACGGCTCAAAAAGGGGAGGGCGTGGCAAGTCCTGCGCATCTTTTTGTCACCCGGTAGCCAATGGGGTTGCAGCGTTAGCCGATAAGAACGCCGAAGATGAACGAATCACCCGGCGAGAAGCGCCAACCTCGTACGGCGTGCACTGCGTTTCTTAATTCTTAGTGACTACAACAGTATGGGTGAGGAATGTTTCACCCAACGTTTCAAAGTGCAGTAAAAATATTGAAACCACGAAAATGACCGTAGATATTTCTTCCCTTGGCATATAGCGTTTATTTTTTTTATGCGACACCCGCAACGCATAAACGGGCATC